CCGGGGGAGGGCGGGGGCCTCCGGGGCTAGTGTTTCGCTGCCGCCTCGAGGGATAGAGTTGTCCCCGGTCTCGAGTTCCGCGCCCCCCTGCCCCCGGGCCGCCGCAGCCCGAGCTGGCCCGTTAATGATTGATGCGCCGGCCAAAGGCTGAGAGTCGCCTGCGTGCGCCGAGACGCTGGTCCGCGCTGGGGTTCGGAACCCAGCAGCCACGCTGGCGTTCGAGAGGAAACTGGGGAGCTGCGGCGGCTGGGGGGTTGAAGCAGGGACGGGGAAGGCGCCCAGCGCGCCCGAGCCAGGCGGGGCGGAGAGATGCGCTAAGAGGAATCTCCCGAGGTGGCGGAGCGCTCGGGAAATCGGGGGTGGGGGTGGGGAAGGGGTGGGGTGGGGTGGAGGCCGCGTCGGGATCTGGGCCGTGTCACCGTCGGTTACCTGAGTCTGCTCCCCCGCCCTTCACCCAGTCCGTGCGTGTGTGGAGGGGGCTGTGCGGAAGGTGCGCGCACCCGCCTCTCGCTCTGGGCTCCGCGTGGAGCCTTAGTCTGTCTCCTTTCGCCTAGTGGACTTATTCAGGTGCGTCACTGACCTCCCCTCTCCCGCTGTCCTTGTCCTGTCCAAGTGAACCTTCCCTAAGCCGAGGTCGCGCTCACCAGCCCTGGGGGCTACAGCTCACTGTCCTCTGGTTCTGGTCTGGAGCCCCAATCTGACAACTCAGCGCGGGCTGTTTAAACTTCACATTTTAACGAAAATTTCCAGAGGAAGCCTCCTATAGTTAGAGAAATTGATTAAGGAAGAATTCTCAAGAGCTTTTGCTGATCACAGGGGAAGACGTTGATGAACGAGGACATCGGGGAGGAGGTGCATTCTAGAACGAACTGAAAAAGAAGGAGAACGAATTTGTAGAGACTAAGAGGGGGTGCTTTGGAAAAATCTTATGCATAATTAACTAGGAGTACCTGGCAGACTGGGTTGGATGGCTGCAGGCCAGAAGAAGGGAAGGCTGAAGAATGTAAAACGGTTGTGATGTATTGCGGTGTGAAGATAAGCCCCTGGGTCCTCATTTTATAAAAGTGGGACTAAAAATTCTGTTACTCTTTCACAGAAGTTCTCTTTAGTGATGCCGTGGGAATGTGACTGAGTCTAACTTGCATCACTGACCTGCTGTGTAGCGTCATGGCAACAAGAGCTGACTTTTAAGAGACCGGGCGCTGTTCATTCTAAGCAACGTACAGTTTTTAAATCATGGTGGTAGTATTTTTGCTATTTTACAGACTAGGAAATGAAAGCTCCCCGACATACTACCACCCCCCTTTTTTTGACGGGTATTTGAAAGCGGGCAAGCTGCTTCTAGAGCTCATGTACTCATCCAAAACGGCTGATGACATGCTTTGCTCAAAAGAAACTAGTAAGGAAGGGCAGTCATATTTAGATAAAGACTTTCATTTTCATTTTATAAATGAAAGACTACTTTCATTAGAGCAAATCCTATAAGTAGGTCAGGGGATATTTGCTTAGTTGTGGCTCAATAAAGATTTAAGTTATGGAAAACAAATTTTTACACCTAATAAGTTACGTAGTAGGGCAGATGTTTAAAATGATTTACCAGTACTAACGCTGTCTCTTTAGATGTTTCATCCTTCTCTTGAGGGGAAATGTTTTCCTTTAGTAGCTGACTTAACTTTCTTACACAATTAGGCCAAAGGTGCTAAGTCTTGTGCCTTTCTGAACATCACAAATTCCTGATTAATGAATTTTAAATGCGTAAGATTTTGCTTTACTTAACTAGTATCTTGTTTTTCAAAACCCTATCTGTATAGCCTTATATAAAAGCAAAACCTAATTTCTTTTCACATCCATACTAAGAATCCATGCTAATTTGTGAAAGGATTAGGATTCAGGCATTTATAAATCAAGCTGTGAATCATAAATGTGAATTCAGAGAAGATTAAAATATTTCTTTTATTATTTCAAATACTCTGCTACCCTACAAATAACCTGAACTGTACCCTAGAAGAGAATGTTGATCCTATCATCTACCAACTTCTTAGTTGTATAATCAGCTCACTTACATAATTGGAGAAAATATAACCAAAAGTTTGTATATAGTCAAAGGATGGAAGCTGACTGTAAACGAATGTGCAAAAACTCTAGACAAAATAATAATTATCTAAAAGTGGTGACGTTGGCTGTGATAAAAGATGGTGTTCTTTTAAAATTCATATTTTATAAAAGGTAAAAATAATAACCTTCATATCTTTCAGTAAACCTTTCTCTTTTCTCATATATTTCCCCACCATGAGACACAGATTCAGCTGATGCTATGGAATGGTGCTCAAGAACGCTCCTCAGTGTCAGTACAAACAGCTGTCCTTGTCATGCTTTGATTAGGCCAAGTAAAAAGGAACTAAGGAAACAAGCTGACTTAACTTACATATATATTAAAGCAATATGACTTTTCCTTAGTTCTTACTATGCAATTAATTTTAAAATTAAAATTATTTTATCGAGATAATGATTTACAACACCATATATGTTTTGGGAGTGTAGGTTCACACTTCTTCAAATGTGTATTATTACTCCATGCCACCCACCAAAGCATGCCTCTTCCTCCACCATAGTCCATTGTTCCCTTTTTCTCTCCTCTTCCCCCATCTTCTTTCCCCTATCTCTCCCCATCTGACTCTGTTAACAATCAGATTTCAAAGGTTTGTTTTAGTCTGTTCCTTTTCTTTGTTTGTAGATTTTAATTTTTAATACAAAAATATGCCCTCCAAAGTCTGGAGAACAGATTGGATTTTATAGTTTGATTTAACTCCAGCAAACTAACTGCCTGTTTTTAAAAAATATCTATTTATTTATGCATACAAAAATTGGGGTACAGGCCAGAAGTGTGGGGCTGAGAGGGCCCACCAGAGACAGAGTGGGGAGCAGAGCAGGCAGATGGTGAAAGTACACTGCTGAGGGGAGCAGTGGGCGGGTCAGGAGAGGTCTGGGGCACCATGAGGATCACCATCTTGGCCTGGGATTGAACTCGTGCTGCAGTGGCTGTGGACAGCCTCATAGTGCTGGGTTTTAACTAGTTGCTCCACGAGGGAGGGCCCAAACTAACTGCCTCTTGTCAGCGAGAGCCATGCTCACATACCCTGGGTTTGGCTAAACAGATAGAAGCAATGGGCCGCTTGCCATTCCCTGAAGGTGCACTGGGAGATAAAGCATCTCTAAGGTAAGCAAAACTGACTGTGAAGTTCTTGACAGTGAAGAATTGCCAACTATTACATGGCAAAGTTTAGAGCAGAAACCAGCTCGTATCCCAGTGAAAGCTCGTCAAACAAGATGGCAGTGTGCCCTGGTAGTTCCATGGAGGCTCTTTATTTCGGGTGCCGTCAGGGTCCTGACTACAAAATGCAGTCATATACAGAAACTGTTACAGGCTGAACAAGTGATTTTTCCATTGTGAATTGGTTTGGTGACATTCTTACAGACCAGCTATACATTTATTTAAAGTGTTTATATTGTCATAAAATGATGTCTATAAAAGTTTCAAGCAAATTTGATATTCTCTAATAGGAGACACTGAGCGACTTGTGAAATCCACAAAAAGAAAGAAAGAAAGAAAGAAAACTATGACATACTCTAATTAAACACTTTTTTTTTTTTTTAAAGAGAAGTATTGTTTTATTCTGGTTTCTTTTTTTACCCAAAATCAATCAACCAACTAAACAAAACCTACTATGGATCCAGTACTTACTTGCACCCAAAATGCTGCATTAAAGATAACTTTCCTCAGAATGTTTTATTTGTTGTTTTTATAATTACATTTATTTTCTTACATCATTGTTCATTTTTATACAATATTTTAAAGTATAGAAATACTACATTTTGGTACAGAAATATTACAGTATTTCTTCCCTCAAGTATAATTTCTATAATACCCCACAGTCCTTTGTGCACTTCCCTCCCCTGTTTTGACACCTTTCTCATCCCCTACTACATGCTTTAAATCTATGATCAGCTTGCAAGTTTTGTCTTTTTCCTAGCCCTTTGTTTGATTTCCTCTACATGACACATACAAGTGAAACCATCCAATATTTATCTTTTTCCTTCTGACTTATTTCAGTTAGCATAATCCTTTCCTGCTTCATCCATGTTGCTGCAAATGGCATGCGTTTGTCCTTTTTGATCACTGAGTAGTATTCCATTATATACCATTATGTACTACATCTTGATCCATTCATCTGTCTTGGGGAATTTAGGTCATAGCCATATCTTGGCTATTGTAAATTGTGCTGCAGTAAACATAGGGGTGCAGGTTTCCTTCTGAATTAGTATTTTTGTGTTCTTTGGGTCCATATCTAGTGGAATCACTGGATCATATATAGTAAATCCATTTTGAGAGTTTTGAGGAAACTCCACACAGCTTTCCATAG